TATATATATATATATATATATATATATATATATATATATATATATATATATGTATATGTATGTATATGTATATGAATAGATTTTGTATATTTATATATATGTATATGAATAGATTCACAGGCCAGTGCTACGACTTTAAAATATAATTGTGATTGCATTACAGACGATCTCTAAAATTTTGCCGAGCACACAGCGACGCGAGAAAAGTGACGTTCATCCACGAGCGAGCAGCAACGCATCGACGAGGTACTATAAAAGACAGTCGGTCTTACGGGCTTTAGCGACCCCCAGAAATCTGACCGTACATTTTTATATTTCACCTTTTTCTTATATCCTATATTCTTACTGTTATCCTACTTACATCGTCTTGTCTCTTTCTACGTTTGTCAATACGATTTTTTTTCTACGTCTGTCAATATGATTTCGGCACAATACTCCATCCAGTACTATATATCGATGGTGTACTCTTACGAAAAAAATAGGAAAAAACCTTATATTTTGGGTGTAAATATCCAAAAACTGGAGATAAACACCTAAATTTCAGTGTTAACACCCAAAATTGAGGGTTTTTTCGTATTTTTTTCGTAAGGATAGTCACACGGACAGACAGAAGTGTCTTTATGTAAAAAACGGTCGGTATTGTCATCGTTCTTCAATTATCTCCGGGCCCTTTGGCCGGGTCGAAAATTTACTCAGGACTGACAGTCTTCAATAATATCTCGTCGGTGAGCAGCGGTATGCCGACGTTGTTCAAACGAAACTCAGCAACTCGAGGTCAAGGGGAAAAAAAATGACATTCTCTTGGGCGCAAGTCGGCGTATAGATCATCAGAAGGAGCCACTTCGAAAAAGTAGGACGAAAGGGCTCGGGTTCGGGCTCGATCCCTCGAAAGCGCGCAATCTTCAGATAAAAATCGCAAGCGGCCGTAAAAGCGACATTAAATTCAAATTGCTCGTATCCACGGCGCGAAACTTTAAGAGACGCGGCCTCGTCGTCGTCGTCCTCGTCATCGTCGTCGTCGTCATCAAAAGGAAAAAGGGGAAAAGAGGAGGGAAGATAGAACACAGAGAGGCATCGTAAAGGCACCGCAACGCAACGCGTACACTACATCAATGTGCAGGGTGCTTCGACCAGGAAGCTGATGGTCCGCGTGAAAAGATATACCCCCGGGAAGATGGATAAAAAAATTCTTGCTCTCGCGCTAGGCTTTGTCTTTATTTTAGCCCGACCAATTCGTTTCGCTGCAAAAGCGGCTGACAAAAAGTGCTATCGTTTAACATAGCACATTCGATAATAAATCATGTAAAGAGAGTCGCACTCGGGACGGTCAAATTGTTAAAGTGCGATTTAACGTTTGAAATATGCTAATACAAACGAACGTTTATTCACGTGTGTGTGTGTGTGTATGCGTGTGTGTATGTGTATCGACAGAAGCTTTATCGACGATATTTTGTCTTCTTCGTTCGAATAATCGCGTTACGGAAGCCGAGTCAGTTATACTTATGGAAGAAATATTATTCCACTACAAAACGTTTTGTTGTTCTTTTCTCGTCTTTTCGGAGAATAAACGTGTCTCTAAAATAATTGCAAAGTTACTGTATTTCTTGGATTTCTAACAGTATACGTTATAACCGGTACGATTCGTAATAGTCGGTGTTATATGTGTGTATGTGCACGAGTTGCAATTTATGAAATTAGAGTAAATAGCGAAATCAATATCTTTAGTAAAGAAATAAATGACGTTTCTTGAATGACGGGCAAAAACCAAAATACCTGATAATCGCAGAACATTGACTTTTTCTCCGAGAATAGCGTCTTTGATTATTTGTCTTCTCGGTATCCGAGATTAATCTGCGGTACAGTCCCTTAGGCTAGTGGCACACAAAAAAACTTAAGCAATAAAACGTAAGCAGTAAGCAAATTGACCAATCACAGTCATTGATTCTTCTTACGGTCCAAGAATCAACGATTATGATTGGTCAATTTGCTTACTGCTTATGCTTACTACTTAAGTTTTTCTGTGTGCTACGGTCTTCACACACCTGCCATAGCCATAACGTAAGACGTACCATAAGAGTTGACCAATTACGATCGAGTATTCATCAAAATGGCAACCTTACGGTTCGACGAATCTCAATGTGACTGGTCAATTCTTGCGGCACGTCTTACGTTATGGCTATGGCAGTTGTGTGTGAAGGCCCTTCCAGCCCCTTACGTTCAAGATTCTATACGAATCATTTTATTGGCTGCAGCGCATCTGCAGATGAACTTCAGCCAATCTTAAATATAAGGCCTGTTCTTTGTAGCTGCACTACTGAACTAGTGCAATAAGTTAGAGTGAGAAAACGTATATTTGTTTCACTTCAATATATTGCACCAGTTCAGCAGTGCAACTACAAAGAACAGGCCTATAAACTCGGCCAATAAATGCCGCCCTAGATCCATCGTAAGGTGGCATTCGGATTCTCCATCTGAGTATATCTCGCGAGATACGATTGGTAGAGAGAGTAGTCTTTAGTTCGTTGACACGGCACAAGATGGGGGAGTTGCGACAATATTTCCCAGCTGAATTCTCCCCTACGCTTTTGCATGATCGATGATCGAGAGCCGAATGACGTTCGGGCGGACGAATTGATTATGGAATACGTGTTGATTGTGGAGACGTGAGCGAATGGGTAAATAAATAAGTAAATAAACTGCAAATTTAAGCGATACATACACGCGAAGAACCCAAGATGAAAGTGTCAAGCAATGACAACACAAACGTGCGGAACGTGCATCTGTAAGATAGAATTTTTCTACATTGCGTACGCATATATACATATATACAGTGCGCTCACATAACCTCTCGAACTGGAATGATCATGATGTATTGTGATAAGATATAAGCAGCGACAACAAGTTCGGAAAGCCTGAGAAATCTGTGATTTGCGAGGATGACCTGTTATATAAAAAATTTATCTAATACTACGACTGATTGATTACATTGTGACCCTGTTAGAAGTGTGTAGCTCTGTGTAGCACTTGTAACAACTCTAACGTTCCCAATAACGTAAAATACGTATGTATAATATTGTTAAGTTTCATAAAACTCTGCGAGCAAGCCCCATTTCTTTGTGGTCGTTCGAGAAACTTAACAGATCCTGTGACTTGCAGAGACTGATATCCTTCATTATCTCAAATACGTCGCCTGCAATCAGTCAGTGTCCACTTTCATACGATACATCTAGTCGGTGGGATTCAGCAGAACCCAAGATGGGATCTGAACAGAGCTCGCAGAGCAGCAATCAGAATGCCAATAGTGGGAGGGCGAGGACAGGTCAGCTGAGACGTGGCAAGAGTGTCCCAAATCGTGAACGAGTGCCTGAAGATACGCCACCAAGATGCATCAGTCCTGGTGCGAGTATCTGTTCTGATTCCGATCTACCATACATCTCCTACACGGTTAACCGACCAATTGGGGACTCCCCAAAGATGACGAATAAACAATCATCACAACTGTATCGTGGCAAGAGTCTTGGCGCGGCCGAGATCTCCAGGCGGAAAAACAGTCTGGCTGGCACGAATCACGGGTAAGTTGGAGGTAAAGTACATGTAAAAACTCAGTAAACGCTAATCAGTGATGACATTGTGCCATGTTATAACTTGCCATTCAACACTGTTGCATATTACACTTGCATTGTTGAATGAAAAGTTGCAACATTGATATAATGTTACTATTAGTGTTACTAAGGTAAGATTTGGCAAGCAATATTGTAAGTTTAACCAAAAATAACTTCGACATTGTTCTCGAGATTTCAAAGATCCTTTCTCTGAATTATCTTACTGATAAAAATGTCTCTAAATGTGACTGGAAGTCAATCAGAAAACTTAGGGACACCTACCAATAAAAGAGAGTTCAAGATAAAAGTCTTATTGGCATTCCCTTTTCCACAGTTATAGACAGAAAAGCATGTCGCAGCAGGATAAGGCGCAGCATAGCATCGTGGTGGTGAAGGCGGCTCAGGCGGACCCAACGGCCGACAAAGATCCGGATCTAGTACGATTACAGAGCATACCAATGTTCCTGCCGATCATGCGCGGCACATTGAACCTACCGCCGGGTGTGCGCGACCCAGAAGTGCTCGAGCGCCTCGACCCGGTCGGCCTGTTCAATTTGTGCGCGCGTTACCAGCATCACTTGAATACCAACGCGCAGACTGTGGCCGCTGAACAGGCCGCGCTGTGCGCCAGCATGGAGACTGACCTCGCTAGGATGTTGAATCTAGCGGTGGAGCGACAGAAGAGGTTCGCCAGATTCACTGAACAGCTCAACAAGGTGCATGAACTCAGCCGCCAGCTCACCAGGTGCCACTCACAACTCAATCAGACTCTAGAGAGCCTCGAGACACTCAACAATCTGCTGCCAGTGGAGGAGAGATTGGAACCCTTCGTCTGGACCACGGGTTAAGGAAAAGAAAGAGGGAGGAGTGCGAGGAACTCTCTTAATGCGTGGAATTTTTTCCCTCGTGTTATGTGTAAAATTGTTTCTTTTTTATAACAAGAGATATTGTTTCTAATTACGTTAAATCCTCTTACAATTACACTCTCTCTGTGATCGAGGATTAAACGATTTGTTGTTTTTTTTTTATTCGTGTTATAGTTTTCAATATGGATTTTATGACCAAAGTGTCTCAATGATCGATTTATTCTTTTTTTCTTTCTCTTTACTGAAGAATCTTGGGATCTTAAACTCATCCTACGCGAGAAAAAAAGGAAGCTGTTTAAAAATCTGTTTCACCGATTTTAATTTTGTCTGTGATCAAAGTGTCGAGATCATCATCGCTGTGCGAAGATCGAGAGAAAGATGGAGAAGAAATGAAACATTGACTGTGACAGTGTTTGTCGTTCTAGCAAATTGTAATTCCGCGGAAGAAATCCCAAAATCTGTGTGCTCCTTGCGCAGAAGTATCGATTCCGTGTTACAACCCGAGAACATGTATTATATTATATCTATTTTTGCGTTAGCCAGCGTAATAAAGACGAGGTTTATTACAAAAGTTCTAACATGAGAGATGCACGTGTCTGACAACTACACACGAGCGACAAGTAAAAAACAAAACGAAAATTCGAAGCGTACAAGAGCACAATCGAGCAACATCCTCCTCAACGTACCCTAGTCGGTTTTGCTGGCCGACCGTTGAGCCTTCAGCCGCTTGTACGCGGCGATAACTTCGTTCTGCTGTCTCTCCAATTTCCTCCTTTCCGCTGCGGGCAACTTCTTCCTCTTTCCACTGCGATCAATCGCCTTAGAGGCAGCAGCAACCTTCCTGGGTGCTTCCAGTAGTGAACTCAGCAACAAGTTCCTCGGCTTCCTCTCCTCGCCTGTGACCTCCCTTGTCTTGAACTTCAGCTTGGGAGGCTCATGGGCCACTTCCCCGAAAGCCACTTTGTCCTGCAATCTTCTGAATTCGTCGTCATCATTCTTTTCCCCTCGCCTCTTCTCTCTCTTCAGACGCAGCTGTAGCTTACGCTTTTCTCTCTTTGTCAGAGCCTTCGCGTCTCCCGTCGTTACCTTCTTCTTGCCGGTGTTCTTGTGCTTGGCGCGCAGTCCTTCAACGTCGTCTTTGTCGACCTTGCGTTTCGTCAGGCCTTGAATCAGGCCAGTTCCTGGATTACGTTCCACTTGCACCCCGTACTTTTGCTCGAACGCCGTCTCCTTGAGAAACGCGTGCGTATCCTTGGTCACCCGGTGCCAGAAGTGTTGCCCGGATTCTCCCGGTCTCTGCTGGAACAGCGGCACGACTTTCTCCGGACGAGCTTTTGAGTGAGGTAACGCCGCGTCGTGCTGCGGACCCACGCGGATCAGCGAGCTCTTCTGCCTCTTCCGTTTCTTCTTCTTGAGGCCGTCGCTGTTCTTGGCAACTTGCTTCAGCTTGATCACGTGTTCCAGACTCTTGGGAATCGCCTGCTCGTCCACGTTCCTCGGCGGTTCATTCGTGCGCGACTCTAACCTAAAACACCCGTTCGCTCAGAACTCGTCGCGGACTCGTCGGCTTCCCCGCGCGAAACGCATTCGGGAAAAAACAATGCTTGTCCGTTAAAGATGAATTGGCGGAAAGTGATCGACGAATATCCCGAACTGTCCGCGAGAACGCAGCACCCGAACTTCCCTGGATTGAGGTTAGGGCGTCGATCGAGGATCGACCGAGCGAACCGATCCGAGGAGAACAGCTCCGCGAGGACAGCAGAGTCCGTTCATCGTTTAACAGCGTGAAGACGCTCTCGCTGATCGCAGCACGTTTGTGCGTCGTCGTCGTCGTCGTCGTCGGCTTCGCGTTCGTTCGATGCCATCGCGCGCGCGCCCGTTCCACTGGACAGCCATGTGTTTTCCCGAACGCGACGCCTTTTTCTCACGAACAACTCACCCGGCCAAGCGTTTGGCACGCTGCTTCTCGGGGTCCTTGACACCCCGGTGCTTCTTCGCCGGTATCTTGCGGCCCATATTAACGTAACGCACGATTCTCTCACGCTTTACGGCTTGCTTAATACTCGACACGTGACGCGTAACATACGCTGCTGCCCGCGCGGCGGTCACGTGACCTCCGACTGCGCGCGCACGCGATCAGCTGATTTTGACAGGAGCACGGCGGTGTGAGAGCACATCCCTTACCTCTCCGCGTGCCGCAACTCACCCTTGACGATTTGAAGCAGAATGTATCATCTTCTGATCAGTAAAAGAAAAAAACCGATGAAAACCAACTTGCGACATGCGATAACAGAAACGTGTGCGAACTTTGACCCAAGAAACGAAAATACATTCACTTCTAAGTAAATCTCAAGAGAGAGAAACAAAGAGAGAAAGAGTGAGAGAGCTTGCATTTCGTATACACATTTTTAAAATGCGATAATGTACGCGCTTTCTAATTAATAAATTAAGTAACAAAAGCTTGGCTGAAATATTGGCAGATTAAAATTAACAAAGATGCGATCTTCTTCTCAGCTGTCTTTGTTTAAAACGACTGATACAAAACGATTACTGTATAAGATCCAGGCTGAATTTCAATCAATACAAATCAATGAATGGATGATTGACTTATATTGACATTCAGACTGAACGTAATGCAGTCTTATCGTTTGTTCATCGTTTATTCGTTTTAAGCGAGGGATGCTCGCGGACCCACGGAGAGTTGTAAAGCGTCAAGTACGGTACGGCCAGGCTTTGCATATTGTTCATTTATATCTCGAAATCGATATCGAGCATATTTGATATTTCATTGATTTCGGACTCAAGGAGAAGCACAGGAAAAAGATGACGACTCAACAGCGTTTGATCCGAGACACCCCGTGTGCAAAGACGAGCGGTGGGGGATGTTGGGACGGTTCGAGAATTCGAGGAAGCGACTTCTGCCTCAGTTTGCTCGCGCCCGAGCTTGCGCGAGGTCGTGTCCTGCCGTGTGTGCTTTTGCCACACACGTCGCTCTTTCGAAAAGCATCTCTCTCTCACCTTCAACCCTCCACCTGCCGGTCATCCGCGTCCCTTCTTCGCGCTGTTGAAACTACGCACACGCTGGTGCCTCTCGCGGAAGAACATTCCTGAGAAAGTACGAGACAGTGGATAAGCGAGAGAATTGATTCCCGGAGTTGGAGGATCTATTTTCGAGGCGAATCTCGCAGAAGAGGATTTTCGTGGATAGGTGATCATGACGATGACGAAATGTGGGATGCTATTAACGTCGTGGTTGCTGATAATCGGCTGCATTCCAGGTTCGTTTCGCTCGATCGTTATGTCGCATAAAATTAGAACTGACGCATATTTCTCAGTCATTTCGTAGAAATCATTAATTGAATTAATAAGTAAGCGTGTATGTAAAACACGTTTCTACTTCTACTGACGTCGCAGCGCAACCTTGGAGGTAGAACGTCATGGAACATCAGCTTCATTACGATTAACCGTAATGAAGGAAACAGAAAAATGATCGCGACTGGCGGAAATTTCGTCGAGACTAAATTCACAACTCGTGCGTCGTTCCACTTCGCACTCATTTAATTTATATCGTGTGTCCTCGGCGTTTCTCCTCGAATCACCCCGTATATTAGAAAACATAACCACATGCACTATTTCTGTCCCCGTGCTTTTGCTCGCTTAATATAGCGGTTACGCTATATGTTTGATGCTGCTATCGTTCCGTTTCCATTGCTTCACTGAGAGCATTCGTTCGGTTACATATTCATATCATTCTTTATTTATGCACGTCACAAGATTACAGCGAGGAAAATATATTTTCGATTTATTACACACGTCCGATTAGTTAAACGAAAAGCTGCGCCGATATTTCGCTGCAATTCCTAATAACCGCGGCCGTGAGAACTTTACCCTACAAAATACTGGCCTCCTTCTGCGAAGTTCACATCGTATTGGTTGCACAGAATCGCAAGTACATCTACACAATGAAAGTATGTACGTACCCATACACCACAAATGCCCAAAATACATCCCAGAGACGTTTGATATCTCTGGAATGTCTCTAGGATGTATCTTGGACATTTGCTATATGAGTACACTGAGAGAAACATACAGTTGCTTTCGGCGTCAACTATACTCTTTTTTGTGATTTTAACCATAAAAATAGTTAGGAAAACCATTGTTTTAGTAAGTATTATTAGAAAGATGGTTCTTCTAATTATTTTTCTGGTTAAAATCATAAAAAAGTGACGCCAAAAGCAACTATATTTTTCTCTCAGTGTACGTATAGGAATGAATTGTCACAATATACGTCAAAGAGGATCAAATATTTCAAAACTGACATCTCCGGTTGTCACTCAATGTAAATGTTTGTCTGATGCAAAATTAGAATCTGCAATTTGCACATCCCAATCGCGTGTTTGCTTCGCTTAAGAAAATATCAAAGAACACTGCTGTACCTTTGCAACTAAATTTAGAAGCTTATAGAATAGTAAAACACGAGAAGCTTATAGAATAGTAAAACACGAAAAGTTCACAGAAAGACTCCTACAACTGGTTGCATGATTAGATTTTTCGTTAAATAAAACGGTGTATATTTATGTAAGACCTATATGTAACAAGAAAAAGATAATGCGATCGTGTCATTATCGACATTTTTCAAGAGTTCGCCATTCACTTTGGCAGCCCCTTAAATCCGAATAATTTCGAGCTAAACTGATCTCTCGCTTTAGTTGAATTAATTCTCCGATACGCGATGCAGAATTATTGTCTGTGAAACTTAAACGCAATTCGGAATAATAATTAGAGTAATGTAATTATAATAAATAGGGTAATTTCGGGATAATAATAATTGGATACTTTTATCTGTACGTCTAGCGAAATTGAACGAGTGTGCGCACGCGACGACACGAAAGCTTCGGTAGAGGCAACCTCGTAAAGGACACATGTGCAATGCGAGGAAATTATGTGACATGCGCGGGTTGATTATGACCTGCTCCAAATTTTCTGCAACGTGCACGACACGTGTTAACCAGATTGGATTTTGAATATACATATACGGACTCGGCATATTTATAGATCGCAGACGATCCTCTTTAAGGCCATCGGTCGCCGTCCTCCGATATCGGGTCATCCAATATTTCTTTCTTTTGTCATTAACCAAGATCCTAAGAGATATTCCCCTCATTTTTTCTTAACCATGTGTGCATTATACACGCGCGTATTTCTACATGACACGCCTAGACAAGGTTCTGAAGTCGTTATATTAAAACTCGATGTTAAAGTCCACAAAAACGCTTTATTTTAACGTTAAATTTCATATAATAATTAGCAAATTAATAATACGTCGTACGAGTTTTTCTCGCTCGTTTTGAGCCGGCCTTTCCGAATGTTTGCGCGAAAACACGCGCGAACTTTGACCCAAGAGGCGAAAATATATTCCTCTAAGTATGCGTGAAAATCTCAAGAGAGCGAGAGAGAGAGAAAGAGTGAGAGAGCCCGCACTTCGTATGCACACACTTCTAAAAGCAAATAACCAAGGAAAAACGCGGAACCGGTGACCCACTTCGGACCACCTTTGTAGCTCAAAGCCTTCAAAAACGCAGCTTCAAACGCATTTGAGGCTTTTTTATTCTTTCCGCTTTTCTGAAGTATTCGTGCAGTGTGTACGCTAAAAATATTTGAGGTATACATTACACGCGGGATTTTCACGAGAGTAAACATACTTTTATGGAAATAATTAAATAACGAGGAAATCAATCGTGTTACTATTGCGATCCAGCGACATTATAATTTATGTGTCACATAAATCCGTTCAAGCTTTTAATACTTAATGTATTAAAATTCATTATCAGAACGTGCACGGTGACAGAAATATAAATGCTGAAATGATTTGAACTTTAATACATAATTTTGACACGGAGACATGTGTGGTTTGGACATATTTTCTAAAAGGAGTCGAACCTTTATTTGAACTATTTACTGCTTTTTTTCAGTGTCACAGCAGCTTGTCATTAAGAGTATCAATGTGCCAGCCACAGTCAAAGCCGATGAGGTTGATCATGTGATCCTCGACTGCGATTACGAGTTAGAGAACACGTCAGGGCAAGAGCTGGTGGTCAAGTGGTTCTTCGAAAGCGACAAGGTGGTCTATCAGTGGATCCAAGGACGAAATCCTTTGGCCGTCGAGCCGGCTAAGAAGTACGTCGATCTCACTTACAGGGCCAGCGACGATCCTTACACCGAGTATCGAGCGATGAAACTAAACAAACCGGGAATTGAGCTCACGGGTGATTACAAGTGCGTGATATCAACTTTCGAGGACGAGAAGACGGCGAACGCCTCCATGGTTGTTTACGGTGAGCGACTCGGATAATTTCTCAATCTTTGAGATTGATTGCCTCAATCGGTCCATTTCCAATCACACCGTCGATTGTGGAACATCCCTTTCCTCTCTGTCGGTACATTGGCATCCTATATTTAGTCCTCCGTGGAATCATATTTTGTGAAACATATGATATAATCTAAGTCTATCAGATCCGGGCAACTTTGAACTATCATAACTTCGTTGAAAATCAATACTTTTGAACACACTCCTTCCCAGAGATATGGGAAAGCTTCAGCTGTGAGACAGTAGCGCAACAAGATTGAAAATCTTTGAATAGCGCAAACAATTTGCGCTATTTTGAAATTTTCTCGAACCCTTGACGAAATTTCGTTCGAGTCTCACAGACACAACATTGTTTACAAGCGGAGAGAGATTATGTTATTAATTATATTATTTCATTAAAGATTATCGTAGATCGACAGAGTTTTTATATCGTGTTTGCGGCATTTAGTGAATTAATATTAGATAGGAGGCATGTTAAATATATTGTATGCATAATTCCTGTGACAGCAACGGAAGAAGTTTTCGGTTTTGCGTACACGAAGAAGACGCTGAAGAACGACAAAGATGGTCTGGAAGCGACATGCATGGCCAAGGGACTTTATCCGCAGCCGACTCTCGATATCTCGGTCAAGTGAGTAAGCCTTTTTATGATACTATCGAAAAATTCCGAGACTCTATCAATTCTTTTTTTTTTGTTTTCGTCGTACGTAGCAATAGATTATGTTATTATCAACAAGGCAAGTGATTAAACAATATTTGGCAAACATATCTTTTTTAAATAATATATAACAATAAATCATATATAAATCATAGAGACGTCCCAAATAAGCAAGCAACGAAGTCCACGGTGACGCTACGAAGAGACGGACTCTACGACATCCTGTCGCGGATAGAATTATTGGACGAGGAGTTACCGGAAACGACTACAACCCTCGAGTGTACTCTTGGCATCCCCAAGGCGAACTACAGCGCGTCTCAAATGACCGTCTACAACTCGGGTTAGCATTTGTACCACTTACACTTTAACACGTTGCGTTGATGTACTAATCCTATGCGATTCTTAACAAATTCTCGAATCAATTGCGGTAAGATAATTCTTTCTGCAAGATTTTTCCCAACGCGACGAGACTTCGTTAACACACAGCCGCTTTAAAGAGTTTGCGTTTAACTAACAATCCAATTGATCTTTGCGCTTATGTAGGGCCGTCTATGCTTCATTGACAAGATGCGATATGTGGTGTTTGTTGTGCAGGAACGGCTACCACCACTTCCGCAGCGATTCCGCAGCATGAAATGGATATTCAGGCCTTAAACGACTCGAACCCCAATAATGGTGGCGGTAAGATCAAAAAGATTGCGAATTTTTCGTTTAACGCTATCATCAGCCACCATTCTCCGCAATCAAAGTTTTTTTCTTTTTTTTTCGGAACTTACGAGATTGGTTTCTTGGCTCACTACTTGCTTATTAACAACACATTAATTCTTCGAATTGTCGCGTTAATAATTTTAAACTCGGATATTCATCTCGCATATATGCTTTGCTTGAGACATAATAACGTAACATGTGAAAGAACGGTGTAACTAAAGAAAATTACAGATACAATATAAAAAATGTGAGAATATTAAATTTAAAAATACTATAACACAAATTGATATTAAACAAATAGATAGAAAATATCATATATAATAACATATATCTTAATTTATAAAGATGTATATGTATATGATACATCAATTAAAATTCTCTTACAATGTTTATATATCTATATGTATGTTGCTCTGTATTTTTTCGTGCCTAATATGTATATTTTAATCTGGTTACAGGTAATTTCATTCATACGTCGATCGATCCCCTTCTGTTGCTGATGCATCTGCTTCTTTTCATTCTATTTCATTAATAATTAATACGCTTAATAGGTAAGATTGGACGGCTAATTATATTTGATTGTTGGTGCCTCAACTCATTCTTCAAGAAAAGTCAAATTCTAATTTGTGAAAAGCTTGTTCTTGCAGATCGTGATTTTTCTTTTCGAAAACAGTTACAATTTTTCTGTCAAAGTTCTTCGTAGTTTTCAAAACTCTCGAAATTCAAGTAATGTGTCTTACCGTGGAATCTGTATTCGGCCTATATTAATAACAATACTCTTTATAATCAACGAGTCGTACATATAGGATAATAAAAGGGAGACGTAGAATGTACATAAATATGTACAGAACATGTTTTGTTGCACTTTCGGTAACCTAAAACGCGACATAATTTTATAATATTGAATACGGTAGTTAGATCGCACACAAATCGTGTAAATAATATTTAGATATATATTAAATTGATTGTGTGTGTATTCACATGTACATATATATGTACACCCCAACCGACTCCAATGTCGCAATATCAATATTAAATGTTATAAGAAAAGTATAACGAAATAAAAGTGCGTATTAATACTCGTTACAGATAAAATATAAAAAAGTAAAGTAATTTCTTCGACATCAAGTTTTCCTTTATTAAAAAATCATACTTTTTTCCTAAAAAATGTTATTTAAATTATTTTTATTAAAATTAATTGATCCAACTATATTCTTTTAATCAAGTATGCAATTTTTAAATATATTAAAATTATGAATTTATTAATTTATCTTATTTACTTATTATTTTTTACAATTATTATAAGTTATTTTAATCATCTTAAATATTTTAATTGGTACGACGGACGTCTTATGTATAAGAGCACTCTGTTCATTTCGGAGTGCGTAGAAATGGCTCATGCAACGCTTTATAAAGTTTCTGGGCTTTATGCAGACCGAATCCCGGGCACAAGGCCAAAGTATTCGGTTGCGCTCTTACTATATTGTCCAACGTGCTGAATGTCGACAACAGAGTCATCGCGTCCGTTTTGTTCACGGATCTTACCGTGGTTAAAGCACTGATCAACTGGAATGTATATAAATTCGTCTAGCGTTCATTGCAATATGAGCAAAAAGATATATTACTCTATTAAAAATAACACACAATCAAAAAGATTAGAAGCATTAAGGGCATTTATTTCTCAGAAATGACGTTGTTTTAAATTATTTTTTTATCATGTATTACTGTATCAAAATAAGATTAACTGTAATAAATATTAATAAAACTGTAAAGTGAGTTAACAGTCAAAATAATTAGAATCTTTTACCTTCTGATGAGGTGCGCTATCGCTACGTTCCATAATATCGTCGGGTGGTTTAATTTCGTATCTTTTGTATGTTTCGATAATCTTTCCTGCATCTTCTACACTCCACGCCAACATGATTGTTATATCAGCGAGAATAGATATTCTTGTTAAATGTTTCAAGATATGATGAGGATCAGCTATGTCTATCTAATTATATCAAAAGTTGTGAAAAAAAATGGAACAAACAAATGACGATGCGGAAGAGAATTATAAAAGTTGTAATAAAAGTTACAAACTTAGCACAAACTATAAATATATATATATATATATATATATATATATATATATATATATATATATATATATATTTATATATTTATATATAATTAGAGAATACTGTTATATATATTATTAAGTTAAAATTTATATACATATGTGCATAGTAAATGAGTGTAATGTACTTATATAAGAATATAATTACTAATAGTTATATTTACCTGTACCAAGAGCACTCGTAGATTATAAGCATTGCCCAACTGCTTCAGTCTTTCATGGATATAATCAGGATTCAATTGATGATAACGAATCGACAGAAAAAGTGCACAAGTAGTTTTTCCCATTACATAATCTGGTACAATATTGGAAAATTCCCATGGTACATTGGTTATGAATTTTAGCAATGGGTTTCCTTTCTAGAAATATTATTATGTAATTAACTAGCGTATAATCTACTAAATTTCAAAAATATTTAAAACATTGTATAACGTCATTACCTGTTTTGGACTGACAAGAACAGCGTTAGTTCTACCAGAAGATGTCGCACCCAAAGTTCCAGGTATAGGATTTAAAGTTGGCTCCTTGGAGAATTCAGATTTCTTCAAATTGCTGAGAGCAGCTAAGCAAAAAAATGCAAAATTATATAAAGTATGTAACAAGAATAATATACACTGGTTATCTACGTAATTATGAAACTTACAACTATATTTATAAAAAGAAGCAAGTTTAATTCTTTTTATTCATTATATAATTTAATAATATAAACTCACACGTATCTTTAACTCGTTTTGGTGGAGAAGCGTCATTCTTGTCATCCGAACACTCTTCAGCGTTATCCATAACTTTTCCTTCCTTCTTTCACTTTTTGCCACTTACTTTTTTATTCAAATATATTAGTTTCATATGAAATAATATCGTATTAACAAGAATGATTAAATGATCTACTGTCGAGTCGTATATTTGAAAATAAGAATCTGTCTATCGTATACAACTTAACCTAACCTAAATGTAACCTAACCCTAAAATTATTTCATTAATATGTAAGTTATTACTTATACTCGATAATTCAGAAAGTTGAAAATAGAATTTGCGTTTATACAGTACTTACCGACATATGATAAAATTGACATTTTATTTTATCGGTAGTACCAGGAAATAAGCGTAGCAAAATAGTTCTAACTTAAAAATGCATACAGATGGCGCATTAAGCGTGCAAAGCACGCATTTTATCGTTACCACCGCGAAAATGCGCCTAATGAATGTAGTAAAGGCACACTGATAGATGGCATCTCAAAAATGCGTCTGTGGCGCTATAGTGGATTGCCCGATGAGTGCGCCACCGTAGCCGTTAAGCTTTAAGCAGTAAGACGTAAGCAGTAAGCGAATTAGCCAATCACAGTCGTTGATTCTTGGACCGTAAGAAGAATCAACAACTGTGATTGGTCAATTTGCTTATTGCTTACGTCTTACTGCTTAAGTTTTTCTGTGTGCTACGGCCCTTAGCCAATGACAAAGAGAATCAGTCTAACCTGATCTCTCGAGAGATTCCTACCGAAATAAAGTCTTGTGTTAAGATACTTTTGTGTTAATAACGAATAAATATATAACCCAAAAATTATAGTGTATATTACAACACCCCTATTTTGGCCTACGCCATACGTCTAGCTCTGGTCATTGAAATCAGGTAGGGTGCTTACACTAACGAAAATAGAGCGAGTGAGATCTGGATCCGAGAGAATAATATAATATTAGTTATAGATGGGAGATTATACTATTCTCTCGGATCCAGATCTCATTCGCTCTACTCTCGTTATCGTAAGCACCCGTAGAGACCCTTAGATAGAGACTGGCTATAGGGGGTAGAGACTGGCTCCGCGTGATTGGTGCACGAGACTTGTGCCTACTAAATGGCAGCACCAACATAAGTTAGAATGAGAAAAAATATACTCGTCTCACTCTACTTATTGCATTAGTGCAGCAGTGCAGCGAAAAAGTATAGACCACGAACTTCTTACGGGTGCGGTCCAACGACCGCTACAAATGCTGCGCAGCGTTGCTCCCTCTTATTCTATTCCTCGGATTCGAATGAAAAAAGAGAAAGAAGTAAAACGCTACAAAGCATTTGCAGCGCCCGCTAGACCGTACCCGAGCTCACGTATTTGCGGCCACCATTTTGTGGACGCGTTGTTCAGTCTCTCTTGGGCTACGTTCCAAAACTCTACTCGACTAGAGTATATTTAATTGTCCAATCATGATAAAAAAATCCTAGTTATCTTTGCTCTTATTGGTCAATTAAATGCTACTCTACTCGTCGAGTAGAGTACATTTAATTGACCAATCATGATAAAGAAATCCTAGTTATTTTTGTTCTTATTGGTCAATTAAATGTTACTTTACCCATCGAGTTGAGTTTTGAAACGCAACTAAGGGTCTCTAAAATCAAGCTAGTGGCTTCTCTCTGGTGCAAAGCAATTGGTCTGTTCTTTTTAGCTGCTGAACTGGTGCAATAAGTTAGAGTGAGAAAACATATACTTGTCTCACTTTAACTTATTGCACCAGTTCAGCAGTGCAGTTAAAAAGAACAGACCAAATAACAAATATAGTGCCGGCATAACCGCTTTAAGCTTCTCTTTGGTGTGAGTCATAAAAGTAGCTCTGTGATATCGCACACCATTGCACGTTCAGTTATATTCAATCGTAAAGCACAATACATTAAGTGCGTTATGTCTGATTGAGACAAGAAATTTCTGAAGCAGTTTTTACTTATACCTTGAATCTCTTGCTAATTGCCTGCGTAATATTTGTAATAAACTCGGTTTTACTCGGATTTTAAGAATATCCGGCGAGTATTGCAGTATAATATTTGAGATTATGAAAACTTAAAGCTGCAAGATTTTGTCAAGTGTGTTAGCCGGTTTTGTAGGAAATTTTTTATGAGAATATAATTAAAAGTAGTATAATATAATTCTTACAAACAATGACTACATTAAGTGGTTTTATGGAATTCTTTCAAAAAGGAAAGGTAAGAATTATATATAATTCCTATTTTAATAAACAATGTTCAGTTATAAGATATAGTCTACTGGAATAAGCTCTTTTATAATATTAGAATAATGTACATCTATTTTTATACATACTGTGATTGCAGACATTTCGACCAAAGAAAAGATTTGCTCATGGAACATTACGTTATTCTTTACACAAGCAGGCTCAAGCTTCCCTTAATTCTGGTATCAATTTAAGAGCTGTGGTAAAATTACCTCCTGGAGAAGATTTGAATGACTGGATTGCTGTACATGGTATGTAAAACATAGTAGTGATGTAACAATATTCAAAATTGTGTATTATCTATTCTAAAAGAGTAACACTAACCATTTATTTTATTTTTTAGTTGTAGACTTCTTTAACAGAATAAATCTTATATATGGCACAGTATCAGAATATTGTGATTCGGCATCTTGTCCAACAATGAGCGGTGGACCACGTTTTGAATATTTGTGGGCAGATGGTGAAAAATATAAAAAACCAACAGCACTACCAGCACCACAATATATTGCTCTTCTTATGGATTGGGCTGAAACTCAAATTAATAATGAAACAGTTTTTCCAGTATCAACAGGTTATTCCACAGTTTAATATTTGTTGTTTATTTTTATTTTATATCCAAATATATATAAATAATTGGTATTACAGATGTGCCGTTCCCCAAAACATTCATACCATTATGTAGAAAAATCTTGACACGTTTATTCAGAGTTTTTGTCCATGTATACATACATCATTTTGATCGTATTGTAGCAATAGGAGCAGTGAGTATATCTGGTGTTTCAAATTATATTTTTATCTCATAGAAGGCTTTGATTCAACATACTATTGTTATTTCAGGAAGCACATGTTAATACATGTTATAAGCATTTCTACTATTTTGTAAGAGAATTCGATTTGATCAATACTAAGGAATTAGAACCATTAGCTGAAATGACCTCTAAAGTTTGTAAAGATACTGCTTCTCCTACCCAAAGCACAGCACCATCAAACAATCATGCCAGGTAGTTATTTTAAAGTCACTTTTAACAAAATTAACAATTACAAGTTACAGTAAAATAACAGAATTTTCCCGAGAAGGTAAAATTACTTCATACAGTGGTAGAATGTAGGTCGTGGCATTTTTTGAATTATACGCGACATTCGTTTATTATTAAGAGCATTTTAGAAATATGATCTGTCTAAATACTGCTTTATTCCTAATTCCTAGTAAAAAGTATCAGTTAATTTTTTATAAACTTTTTACTTCAGTTAAATGAAATTTATAGCCCATCAGGATTTATTCATGCATTATCACTATGTCAGTAATGATTAATATGCTTCACTTCTCTTTACATTACTTTCTATCTTTTATTGAAAGTATTCTAAGCGATATAGGTTCATATTTTCAGATATTGCAAATATTTCAATTGTCATTTAAATATTTCACTTCAAGGAATAGTAAAAAAATACATATAAGATATATATACGTTACTTTTATAAAATCTATTGTTTAAACACATTTATACTGTAATGTGCTTAAAAGATAGTCATAAGTGCAATATCTAAGATTTTTTATTGTATATTATGTAATTATTTCTAAATTAGTTATATTACGTAATTATTTCTAAATAAAAGTTAACAAGCAATATTCATAAAGCTTAAACTTTTATAATCCAAGAAAATATATTCCAATATTTTCTTCCTATGGAATATTAAATATTTAACTTTTAGAGGGTTGAGAATATGAATCTCAAAAAATTCGTTTCTAGTCTTCTTCTTTAGTGTCTTTCTTGTGTGTATTAAGACAATATCTTAGATTTATTTATTTAAAAGTTAATCAAATAAGAGTACGAATTTCTAATTCAATATAATAATATGGATATTAAGCTTCACATGAAGGTTGAAAAAATTATTACACAAAATTATATGTAACTTGCTGTGCACTTACGATTAGTATTTCAAGCATATACTTACACTGAAATATAAGGTTCATTTAGATCTCCAATACGCATAATAGAAATAAATTTAAGAATGCTATTGCTCACTTATCATTACTATAGATTAGGTATTTAAGTATTTTGTGTGCAATGATATTAGAAGTATATCATATAAACTAACCAGAACTATCCCAAATTTCTATGATCACAAAGAGAATAATTTCTTTATTTTTATTGTTATTTTATATGGCAAATTCAATTTCATCTATCGACATTTATATAATACAGAAAATTTTTATATAATCTTTTTATATAATTTATACTTTATATAGAAGCCTTTTGCTATATCAAAGGTCTAAAGATATCAGTTATGCCAAAGCTTATCATATTACTAAATAATAATTAACTTTTGTATGATGTATGAGTATAAATATTTTTTTGCAATTTTGCGGCTTTTGGAAATTGCTTTTAACACCTAAAACTATATGTTTAAAGTGACCATAACATTGTCTATGTCAAATATATACAGTCTACCGCAGAAGTACAAACATAAAGTTTGAAGTGTTCTATTTCCTTTAAATGCTATACATGAAAGATTTTCATAACAACATGAATTGTATGTATTGTGTATAAATAAATATATATTCCTAATTATTTATTGCTTAAACAAGCACAATTTCAATAGATAAATAATAAATAGAAAATTATTCCAACTTGGTTATCTTTTAAATAGTATAACCTAACAACAAAGCAGACGGCTTCTTAAAGAGTTAATTCAGTGACAAACAGCCGAATCATTATACATTGCGCATAACATATTTGTACAATGCATACAATAATATAATACAATATAAGATTGAGTAATTATTCGAAACGTATTTTCGACTGTATATTTATTTCGCCAGGTAGTATACATCAACGAACATTCACTCGTAAATGTATTTCAAAATAAAACTACAATCTCATATGGAAGAAACTACTATATCATGAGTATATGCACATTGTAGTTTTATTTTATTTCTAATCGGTGCGCTAAAATTTATGAATCTGAGGATGATTACAGTCTGAGCCAGTACATGCCAGAACGAATGTTGTTATAATCTATCAAATTTTCAACTGGACCAACTGCCGCGATCACTGGACAGTGATCATAAATATACTTCATACCAACATCACGAATAGTTTCGGCAGTTACACTCTGAAAAATATAACAATCTATTAATTTATATCATATATCTTTTGCAAATAATATGTATATTATGGGGGATCCCATCGGGTATTTACTCGTTTCATGTAAACTCTTGGATCCACACATTCTGAATTCTATTTTTTTCCTTTTAATTACTAAGAGCATCTCTAAAAATGACTTACAATCAGAAAATTTAGAAGCCACTTTTAGAGGTGCTTCCAACGATAAAAGAGAGTTCAGAACGTAAGTCTTGATGCATATAATTCAAACTACGTACATCTATCCTCATTTCGAGTTCGTGAAGCGGAATACGGCGATTATAACATAACATCTGACGGCCAATATCTTCGCAAATTGCGGTAGTGCCATCCAATTGCAGAAACATGTTAGTTTTGAGAATATTTTTAGCGCGTGTCACATCTTTCTCAGTAACTGATGTGCACAGCTTCATCCATTCGTGCTGAATTTGGCTCGCCATGTCATCGCACTTCATAGGATCACAAACGAAGTATACACCCCAGAGACCAGTATCCTACAAGATAAAAAGATTGCGCATTTTTATTGATACATATTGATCATTACACATCACTACAAATATGTTGTTTTACGCACATAATAACAATTATTCAATGCATACCTTGTAGCATGTGTTGAAACTTTGGTAGCTATGACACAAGCCTTCCTCTGCGCAGGCTTTAGCTAAACTACTCGCGTTATTCACACCCCCGCCTTGGCTACGATCCCATGCTCCCATAAGGGTATTCGCGACCATGAGAGGAATATTGTCTGCATCAGGCCATCCAGCACCTTTTGTCAAAATACTTATTGATTACTACACAAAGCGTTACATTTGATTCGCCTCGAATAGTATTCTCTAAGTACCTTCAACAGCAATCGCGATATGAGCGAGAGGAATCGTATCGTCGCGGACTCTTATTTCAGAGCCAGTATAACGACAAGATTTGATATAATCTGGAATATCATCATACTGTGGCCCTTCCATCTGACTAAAATGTTTTTGGGCAAGTTCGATTAATTGATTGTGATTTACACCACCAGCACCAGCCAGCACGAATCTATAATAAGGAAATCACACGTCGGCTTTTATTGGCATTTCACTTTAGCTGAATATAATCGAACAAATGACTGAAATCTTACCTAGGTGGCCCATAGTTGGTCTTCACGTATTTAACAAGATCATTTCGTGTAATACTTTTAATATTTTTAGTAGGTCCCAATATCGTTCGTCCTAAGGATGTGCCTTGATAGGCAGCTGCGTGCAAGTGGTCAAATACGACTTCTTGCAGGTTTGTCTCGACTTCCTGCATTTCGCGCAAAATAACGCCACGCTCCCTTTCAATTTCATTTTCGCCTAATTTAGAATTTTGAATAATATCACTCAGAATCTCAATAGCTTTCGGTACGTCTTGCGACAAACATTTCGCGTAAAACACTGTTTGTTCCCGACTTGTGTAAGCGTTTAAGTGAGCGCCCATGTTCTCTATTTCCAATTCCAAGTCTGTTTGAGAACGTTTGGTGGTTCCCTATCAAAGAAACAGTTTATGACTAATTGATAAAAGATAGCAATAAAAAATTGTATTAATTACAAAAAAATATACAAGATTATAAAGAAACTGTATGATATATACAAAAATATTCATTATACATACTATATATGTCACATACACATACAGACTCGAAACATTATATCTAATTACAAATAAAATATTGTATACTTCATATATATTTCCAATAAATAAAATGTTAGCAATATGCTGGCAGATTGGCAATAGATTCAATTAGAATACTGTAGGATATGACAGACACCTATGTTCTTATTAAACGTGTTCTGTTGACAGAGTCTGTTTACAGAACTTGAAGACAAAAACTGAGCACAATATATACCATTTAAATATATTCAAATGGTTATAGAACAGCCATAAAACATTTAATTTCTGTCATAAAACTGCTATCATATTAACAGATCCTGTTGTATTTCTACCAACAAAATTTACAACAGATACTGTGTAGTAATCTGTTTTTGCAGATTTAGCTATCTGGTTGTTTCTCACAGGTAATACTGTGTGCATCTACCTTAAAAGCCATATGTTCCATGAAATGAGCAACACCATTATTCTCATCTGTCTCATATCGGCTACCAGAATCAATCCAAAGGCCAACAGTAGCTGTTGCAGCTCCACTGTCTTCACTAGCCACTCTCATTCCATTATCCAGAGTTGTAATTCTGGTAGCTGGTTGATTGACAAGTGCTTCTTTCAGAGAAGTAGCAGTCGAACGCCATTGTTTTGGTACCTATATAAGAAAGTTGTTCATCAATCAATATAAATATAGATCTGTAATTAAAAATATATAACAATTTATCAAAGTTCAATTTGTAACGAAATTAAGTTTTATTAATCATTAACACGATATATACATGTACGCTATTAAGTTTTCTTTCTCGAATTGGATATCAAATATTAAAACAGATCTGTCAAAAGTATGTTGAAATCGATCGAGATCGTGTATATGAAGGAGTTACATTGAGGTTATAAATCGATGTAAGCACTCAAACGCATACCGATTTGTTTCATTTTGTTACAAGTCACTTAAATTGTTAGTCACTCACGTCGTTCTTACATGTTACATGTTCTAAAACTATTATTTTACTCTTATTACGTAAGGAGTGAGTGCAGCTGACAAATTTCACTACTGCTTCGAGCGAAATTCACAAGTGGATCGGTCATGGGGCAAAATCGTTTTATCACGATACAATGATCGCACATCGTAAAGATGTAATTCATTTTACCTTAACCAGGCTGGTTTTATTGCTATATGTGCGTAGCGCACTACTAATTTTTAACAAACGAGTAGCCATTTTTCCGATTTATTCGATGAAGCTGGCAAAACTTGGCTCACAGTGAAGAGAAAGTTGCGAAGGTCGGCTAACAAAGAGATGTCGCTGTATGTCGTTGGTCTTGAAACGTAAAACTCATTGGCAGTATTTACAATTCAAGCGCCGATTGGTCAGAGTCGTGTATCCTTAAAGGCCAAATCACACTAACGGTTGACGATAGATAATTGACGATTGAAGATTGGAACTTGACCAATTGGAACAAAACAAGCCAAGGCTGAAGCTCGTTGATTCGTTAAAATCTAACCTTCAATCGTCAATCGTCAATTGCTAGTGTGATTTGGCTTTTAGTCACCAATAGTGATCTGATGCACACGTTAAGGCGCAGTATGCGACGAGGGCGCTATCACGGTCTGCGCAGTTCGTATCCAAAACTTCGAGTACACGTAACAAGCCGCGGCTTGTTCTCAAGGAACGTCGCCATATTTCACGGACCTAACGGGAAGACGAGAGTCACGCCATTGTGCGTATCGTGTCAGAATTATCATCGATTCCGTAGGCATTGTTCGCAGTTGAGTGAAGTGTAGCGAGTGTCGCGGCTCTCCTCGGCGACATCGACGTTTCAATTAGAGTTTGGCACTAAACGGTGGCGACAAATTACTGCAACGGGTAATGTTTTTTCCGCAATGTTACAGCCATTCGCGCGCTCTCGGTCGCAACAAAGATTCCGCGTTGCGATCTCGCCAAAGCACACCTTCGCAAGAACACGTTTCTACCGCGATGATCAGGACGCGTTATTTCGCACGGGGAACGATTCGCAATCCACTTCGTACGTGCCTCGTAGAGTAACGCGTTTTTTTTGCATTACTAAGCGCATTGCTGACACGATGCGTGTAAAAGCTGCATAGAATCGATTCTTTTTTCTCCCTCTTTTTTGAGTATCCTGCAGCAGCCAAGATTCTCAGATGAAGAACTGGAATTTGCCCCGAGTCTTAGAAGCACAGTTAAAAATATCCACTATTTAATAGCTAATACATGCACGTTATAATCGGCTTTAATTAATACATGTTTCTGCTGTGCATACAGACATATAGCCCAAATATGATAATGAAGTCTGATTATAATTTTTTGCTACACAAATTTGTACACTGCTAGCTATGTGTCTACAAAAGAATATAATTTCCATTGGAGTTATTATTACATATAAAGCTATTAATACAGCTGTTCCTGCTGTTCGGCACAGCATATTTATTTGTGATGAAGGTTGATACTTTTTTTTATTAAGTTTATAAACTTATAAATTTAATGGGGCTGCAAATCTCTGTGCACAAACTTGAGTATCAAAATAATTGAGAGTTGACAAACTCTTAAATACAGGATGTACCCAAATAATTTATAAACAGAAGTATATACACATTGATATAAAGCACATATTTAGCTACAAAACAGATATAGTAGCAACAAAAGCAAAGTTCTTGCTTATAGCAACAAATATATTCAGTTATGACAGTAAAATCTTTTTTCTCTCTGTGTAAACAAAAGTTTAAAATACCAAATCAAGTATAAATATTGCAGTACTGTATAAACTTGTTCATAAGGAAGTAATCTTTACGCAATCTTTATGTAAACAACTGCACATAAGACAGTACATTGGAACAACTGCATATAAGACAGTACATTGGAACAACTGTTTTGCTTCTTTTCAGAAATTGAATACGCACGTGCCCAACATGTACAGCAGTAACATCGACCCCTGGGAGCCTGGCTACGGGCCAGAAAGAAGAAGTCACAATTCCGACTACGACTATCGCAGTGACTATGGCAGCAACAGATCTCCAGAATACACAGAACACCGTGACGTTGATCATCGCGATAGAGAGCACCGTAGTCCGGATTACAGAAACCATCGTGGGAGAGACAGGGACCGCGAGAGGGATCGTTCGCGAGATAGGAGGGATCGTAGCAGAGACGACCGCGATCGCAGCTATAGGGACCGCGAGGATCGTTACGGACGGCAGCGTGATAGAGACTCTGTGGAGAGAGACAGGGACAGGGATAGGGACAGAGACCGGGACAGAGATCGTTCTAGGCGCGACAGGGATCGAGATCGGGATAGGGATCGTAGGGGGAAGTCGGATCGGGATCGCGATCGCGATCGCGATGACGATCATAGCCGGGAGAGTTTGGACTTTGAGCACGAGCATGGGCGCGCTTATAGCTCGTCCATGGAGGGAATCCACTACAAATCGCAATCTCCTAACAACACCATTATGATACGTGGACTTGCTCAGCACATTACTGAGAATGACGTACGTTGTCAACTTAGTGGTCTGACATAGCGGCCACTCGTGAGCAGGCGTTACCGAGTATGTTACACCGTTATCATTCTCATGTGTGTATCACAGGTGCGGCAAGACATCCTCAACTGTGGTCTCATGCCCAAGGACATAAGGCTGATTCGGAAAAAAGATACAGGTAACTATTGCGATACGTTAAAGACCTTCACAATATCCGTGCGATGTACCCATCTTTGCGTGATCAGCTGATTGTTATTTGGTGATATATTATTGCGTGCCATCGAATCTGTACGATCGTTAGCTTCTACTGTGTTCGCATAAGCGGAGCGTGCAAGAGATTACTTGAGATACGCACGATGTGCGACGTGAAGGAAACACGATCTTCATCGAGTATGCAGCATTTCAAGGAATCTTTTGCGCTCCACTGTTGTAATCATGTAGCTCTAAGAGTTTTCATTGGTAACACTTCCCGATATCGACTATACACATCTCTCAAAATTCCTAGAATTCTATTAGTTTGAATGTCGGACCATTAAATTGGTCTTTAGTAGAAGGTAAGTTGACAGAGATAACGCAAGGAGAATTTTGAGAAGAGAACGCAACGCTGCGTCACTTGCCAAAGCTGCATGAGAGATAGCTTAATGAGAGCTTACACTCGACAGTGCGTGTAATTTTAAAAATTACCTACCAACCAATCATACCTTTCTACACACACACACACACACGTTAGTGAGAAACACTCTGAACTTTTACAAAATAATGTAACATACAATTGTATAAGGATGCATAACGATCTTTCGGTTAGTGTACTCTTGCGCTTTACTTTAAGACATCACATCCGTCAAAGACATTACTTTAATAGCGGTACAACCCTATTATTGTTCCTCTTGCGATATGAAGTCTCAAAGTGAAGTAAATACAGAAGATTCAAGAGTAAATGCTTTAAGAAGCGCAAATGTATCTGTTAATAATGAACTTCTTAAAGATTTACAGGCTTGAATTTTCCTCATTTTTGATCGCGTGAAGCTTCATATTCTAAGCAGAACGAAGACGGTCTTGCGCCGCTGCTGAAGTAATGTCTCCTTTTTATTAATTGTTTAAGTTATTCCGCTACTACAGAGACTACATTATGCAAACACGATCGATCGATTGCAATATAATTTTCATACGTTCGGGGCTGGGATTTTTTTTTGTTACCGGCGTCTGTTCACTTGTGAACATTGTTCGGTTTGCGTGGTAGAAAGGTAATTCAGAAGACCCAGGAAAAACAAAATAAAATTTTGCCTCGGCTAGGTCACACTAGGCGTTTGAGAAAAAAAAAAAAAAAGAGAATTCGGTCACGCTAAATTGCATTATATGGCATTATATTTGTTCACGATCGGTGTACTGCGGTCTCTCGCACGGTGATGTAGAATTCGTTCTGCTGAGATTTAGGTAAATGGAATATGAAAGCAAGCGACGAAGCGAAGAGAGACACTTCGTTTGAAACTCGGTCAGTCGATGGTTGGTGCTGTGATTGCCTGCCCTCTCAGAGTAGAGACCCCCAGGCAAAAACGTGGATTAACTCTGGATATGTGTGTATTTGCTCTGTATAGGTGCTTCGCGAGGTTTTGCATTCGTCGAGTTTAACGCGACTCAGGAGGCCGCACGGTGGATGGAGATGAAACAGGTAGAAAGAAGTTCAATCCAGATTCCCAACCGATGCGTTGCACGCGTGCCACCGACTGCCCCGTGGCGGCAAGGCACGGTAACGCAGCCCTCTGGCCCTGCCCGTGGCCACGGCTGTGCACCTCAAATCAAAGTCTATTTCAATCTACCGTACCTAATTATTTATTTAGGAATCCCCAGATATTTTTGCAGACTTTTCTTATAACTCGCTCGCAAGCAAGTACTCGCGCAATATCGGATTACAAATTTGCTCACACTGCGATTCGCCCGCGGCGCGTGCTTTTACCTGTCCTCTGTCTATAAAAAAAAAAAAGAAAAAAAAAATATTTCTCTCTCTATCTCGTATACTAACAGTGAAGATCGGAGGAGGGTCATTCCAGTCGTCTTTATATCGTTTCGATGATACCGTATTTTTTTCCGGCATGACTGTTAATCTCCACGCCACGATCTTGCTACGAGCGTCCATCCGCTTCTCTGTCATTACTACTTATGTCTTTGCTTCTCCTGTTTCACTTGGTTCTTGATGCGATTTGTATTGAAACTACTATTACGACGCTCTCGAAGTCTCTCGAAACATGCACGAATCTTTTTTTTTCTGTTCTTTTTTTGTTCACATACAAAAGTTGATACGTGCAAGCGATCGTTGCGTTGCTTACCTACACGATTACCTTTACCGGAACTTTGAAATTGTTTGATTGTCCGTGTAAAGTCGCGCATGAACAGTCGGTCCGGCAAGCGGTGTGGAATGGCCCACATTTAATATAAGCCCACGAGGCTTTATTACATATCATCGTTCGCTCGAGACAGAAAGCTATGAAGTAGAGAAACTGTAATTTCGTCAACCAAGAAGGAAGTTTACGGGACAAACAGAGGCCTCGAGAAGACGTTGGACGGGATAACACTGAAATTCTCTGTTTCAGGGAGTGCTGATGCTGCAGGACCAATATCGCGCATTGATGCAGTACAGTATACCGAAAGAGTGCCATGTGGATAAACCGCCAGCGAAGAATACTCAGGATTGGCACTGCGTTAAGGTACGTGGCGCATATCTTCGCTTCATTTCTGTAAGCGTGTATTAACGAGTGTGCGTTACTATAATGTCCATTCCTCCTTTTGCAGTGTGGAGCGCACAATTTTAAAAGGCGCGAGACTTGCTTCAAATGCTCTGCCTCGCGAGCGGAAAGCGAGGAAGGTGGAGAAGGTAGCGACGAAATCAGTCCGCATCCTACCAACACCGTGCTCTTGCGCGGGTTGGATGTGTTAACTACCGAGGACTCGGTTCTCCAAGCAATGAAGAATCTTTCGTCGATGCCGATACGTAGTATTCGTATTGGTCGTGATTCTCTCACGAATACGTCTCGAGGTGTGTGCTACCTGGAGATGGGCAACGTGGTGGACGCGATGTACCTGCATACCGCACTCACGAAGCAAGGACTGGTAGTGGACGGCAGAAAGGTAGAGATAACGTACTGTAAACTCCACCAGATCAATAACGCAAACGCGTGGAAGTCGAACGACACCCAGCCGCAGAGATACACCTTGGACGATGTCGCACAGTTGGCCGAATACAGCGCGAATTTGTACGCCAAAACGCCCACGCAGAAAGCTCACTACCTTCAGTATTACACGCAATACTATCAGAATCAGATAATGCAGGGTTCGGCGATTACTCTACCTTCTCTGAATCAAACAGACCGTGTAAACGCGGCGGCGGCAGTGGCACAATCTGCCATTCAGCAGTTACAGGCCTCCAGAAAGTTGGGTGAGACCGACGATGTGAAGGGACGACCGACGCCTACGGCACCATCCAGCACGACGTTAGCGAGCGGAAGGGTTCCCGCGCACTCCAGCGACGGAAAAGTATATTGTGAGTCCCTGGAGAGTGAGAGAGAGAAAAAGAGAGAATCTATGCTATTAAAATATATTTCGTTGGTTTAGAGAAGTTAACTCGCGATACTATCGTTTCAGCCGTACCGGACGTCAGCACTTATCATTACGACGAGTCGTCCGGCTACTATTACGATCCCAGCACGGGATTGTATTATGATCCGAATTCACAATATTATTACAATAGTCACACGCAACAGTTCCTTTATTGGGACGCCGAATCGTTCTCGTATCAACCAGCCAAGGTAATGAAGATTTATGACCAGGAGAATCGTGTCTATTGTAAAACTCACCGTACCAAAGATGTAACAGTTTCATTTTTTAATTTGTAGACTACCGCAAGTACGACCCAAGGAGCCACAAGCAGTACTACAATAACGGCGACTGCGAGTAGTGCGGATTCCACGAGTACCATCAGTAATCAGGCTACGACCTCGACGGCCGCGATTGTGACTCAAGAGGCGTCGAAAGAGGACGAAAGCAAAAAGAAGGACAGCAAGCAGGACAAAGTGAAGGTTGCGAAGAAAATAGCAAAAGACATGGAACGTTGGGCGAAGACCCTAAATCAGAAGAAAGAGAATGCAAAGAGCAATTGGAACTCTGACTTCGCCGGTGTGGATGGTAATCAAGGTGTCGGGAGCGGCGCGGCGGACGCAGGATACGCCATCTTGGAGAAGAAAACTGTCGCAAATCCTTATCATGAGGACGAGGATCAGAGTGGTAATGGTTTAGTGGCTGCTTACGGCGGCGGGAGCGATACCGAGGAGGAGATAGAGGATGTACAGCAGGAGGAGAAGCAACATACAGACTGGAGTAAACTGGCATGTCTGCTCTGCAAACGACAGTTCCCGAGCAAGGAAGCGTTAATGCGGCACCAGCAATTGTCCGATCTGCACAAGCAGAATCTAGAGAATTGGTATCAGGTGCGCGGTCTAGACCCCAATGACCCGCAACAGAGGAACAACAAGTACAGAGATCGCGCCAAGGAAAGGAGAGCAAAGTACGGCGAACCCGAACCACCACAGCCCAACAAGTTGAAAGAGAAATATTTGAAAACGAGAGTGGAGGAGATGTCAGTGTCGTATGAAGAACCTACGAGAGCTGGCATCGGGTCCGATAACGTTGGTAATAAATTATTACAAAAAATGGGTTGGAGCGAAGGGATGGGTTTAGGGAAATCAAATCAAGGTAGAACGAGCATTATCGAGGCCGAGAGACGCGTACCTACAGCCGGCTTAGGAGCGAAATCTTCGTCGTACAGCGCGTTACCAGGCGACACTTATAAAGATTGTGTGAAAAAGATGATGTATGCGCGGTATCAAGAACTGTCTGACACGTAATACGTAGGATATCATTAAGATAGATTTTATACATACGCGCGTATATATATAAATATATAAATATATATACATATATATATATACTCGATTTTCCATAGACTCATAATTACACGCTCACATATTATTATCGTACGATAATAATAATAATTAATGTAATAGCTACTTACTGGTAACAGTGATAGCCAATTCTTGGGACTGCAGAGAGATAACTACAGTTATTTCTCGTATCCTCGTGCAGAATTATGTTTTCATACGCTTCACAGATGGTGATATTTACATGGAATCCTATATATTATAGAAGAGAATTATTTTTCTTTATATATAGGGTTCTTATCAGGATATAGACATGCTATTTTCTAATTTTATTTATATATCATCAAAATATGCATCGCTCGAATTCAGTAATAAGTACCGAATTTTTCTTGAGCTAGATTACCTGTGGCTTTTTCGAAAGATATATTTTCCGCTTTTATATACGGAAAAGATGAAACATTTAAGCAGGTAATGAGAGTGCCGTATTATTGTGCAATGCAATAATTCTTGCCCAAGAATAAACTATGTACAGCTGAGTACCAGTGGTAAAGTAAAGCAACTATGGATCCGATCATTTCAGTTAATTCTCTTTAATCCTGTATACGCGCAATATAGAACACATGTTATAAATTAAAAATATCACGGGACATATTATGTATTCGATGACTTCATAAGCGGCTCATACAACGGATCATTAAAATTATCTTATTATGAACGCGTAGTATACGAGACATAGAAACATTCGGGCTTTCTTAATATGTTCTGCAAACAAAATAACGTCCCTTTCACCGCAAAAATATTGTTAGCACATTGATTTCATACTTCTATTAAAAAAAAAAAAAAAAAAATAGATATCCTTTCATCGTACAGTGTCTGAGTTTACGTTAACCATACATATTTATTATATCACAATGAAATCTTTGAGGTTTCATATTTCTTTATAGTTTGAGCATACCAAGCTAGATAGATACATTGAATAGAACATTTATCCATATACTCAGTTCTTTTTTTATCGTTTTTATCTCATTTCGATGATCGTACATTACACTTATTATTATACATCTCTAATATCATTCTTACAATTTACTGTCATTTTTCTAAAGTCATCAGAGAATCATGTATTAGTAAGGAATCTTCCTACTTTGACGGGTCAAAAAAACCGGTTTTTTTACATCTTACAGTTTGACGTCTCAAAAATATATTCCTAAAGTGTTACAGCTAAATGGCCTTGGAATAGCTGATTAATTGTAAGTATGATTTATTACTTGTTATATACTCTAAATTTTAAAGCGTTTTTCTCGAAACGTCATTTTTCGAGCTGGCCAACACGATCTCAAGAACCAATGAATCAAATGACAAAGTTTTGAAGATATATTCAGTATATATTCATGTCCTGTTTTCGCATAAACTAAAATCGTCATAATTTTCAAAATTCGAATTTTGCGATTTAAGAAACTAACGACTTTTGTCAAAAAAACAAAATTATTTTTTAAGTGTTGCTGTTTTTTATTTTTTCAATATTTTTTATTTATTATAGTTCATGCGATACAGATTAAAAATCTTTTTGGTTTTTTTTTGTTTTAGATGATTAACGATCGGAATCATGTTCACCAGCAACACACTTTTTCAAGAACTTTCATTGGAACTGCTACTTTGGATATTATTGTTATTATGACTTATAATAAAGTATATTCGTCGTACAAATGTTGGTCAGTAAACGTATAAAAGTTTTTAATTGTAATACTCCATACATTTATTTCGAAAAATTCCCAAAAACGATCTTACTTTCAGAGTGTCAAAGTAGGGAGACCCTTTAAGTAAGAAATCGAAACAAATTAATAAATATATATACGGCATTATTGCTTACAAATATTGCATGTGTAATTTTTTTATATACACTAAACTTTCCAAACTCGCTAGATTAGGGCACCACTCTTATGAAAGACATATTTTCCTTTTCTAAGAAAGGAAAAGCGCTTCCTACGAGAAGATTACAATATCTATGAGCAATAAACTGCAACATGTAATTTGAAATACATTGTGAATATTTCAGATTTTTGTCAAGAATTATAAGAAAAATAACTCGACTTTTAAGGAAAATTATATATCTAGATATAAACAAAATATAAAATCTTTTTACATTTATTTAAAATCTACATGTCCTGTGATAGACATTGTAATACTTAACAATATTAATATGCATGAGATCTGCAATTTTCAGAAGAAACTTAGAAACAATAAATACATAAATATTTAAAAACTATTTAAAAAAATTTTCCAAATATACAGTATATCCGCTCAACAATTTCTGCATTAAAAGATACAAGTGCAGATCATCAAATGTATGTTTCTCTAATTATTAAACGCGTATTAATTTTACAATATATTTTATCGTCGTAACAATATACTTAAATTAATTATTATTCTGTCACTATTATTTTTTGTTCACATCTCCAGAAATGTAAAACAAAATATTCAATACCTCTATATTATATTTTATTTACGATTTGTGTAGAAAATCATATTTGTAGTAATAAATTAGTGCTATAAATATTAGTAAAGAGTGAGCGTTCTTATGTATATGTGTATATATATATATATATATATATATATATATATATATTTATATATAAAGAGAGTTTTCTAATTTAATTGCATTTATATTTAAGTACTTACAAAATATTTCGTCAAAGTTTGTTTTATAACAAAAATCTACTTATTTTAATATTTATACTTTTCATAGAAATAATCGATACAATATTATTGTACTATCATAATCATACAACATAAGATATATGTTAAGACTAGTACATCTTTGGTCATGAGGTAAGCATGGTTTCACCAAAGACTATAATAATGTATTTCCTATGGAATGAATTTGTACCATTAAACAACTGCAATTCTCTCATATGATAAATGTAACGTGTAATTAAAATATCAAAAATGTTGAAATTAAATATATATAAAATTTAGTGCAGCAATTGTTTAATAGTTTGAGTATCAGAAGATATTTCCAAACGGTATTGCTTTCTCTTATTCTGATGAGTTACATGAAAGAAACGCTTCTGATGATTACACAGTCTTTAATCCTTATCACTTACATAACTATATTATTATGCTTTTTCTCTTTTTATGCTATTTCTCTTTTTAAAGTTTTGTACAAACTGTTAATTACTATTGCCGCTATTGTCACTACTATCAATACTGATATCGGAAAAGCGTTTGTGACTGCAGACTCACATACACTACAAAATGTTGGTTACAATATTCAAATTGTGATTGTTTGAAATTTCCTCACTGCACAAAATGCGAATATTTTTCAACATTAGCAAAAATTATTGTGGTATTTAAACATAAATCTCTATCACAGCAAACTAACAATTATGCGTGTTTGATGAATCTAGCAGTTCACTCTGTTTCTAAAAAATAGTGTTGTGCTATGTCATAATTTATAATCATAGCTGATTTAAGAAAGATATGTTACGGTACATTGGATAAAAAAAACTTACACCTATAAATTACACATCAGCCAGAATCCAGGAATACAACGGCCGTAACTGATGATTCAATACTCTGTATTCCAGATTATTAAGTCCATCAGTGTCGTATCTTCGCGCACCGCTCTCCAAATTTGCGAATCTTGCAGTACTGGGAGTCTCCTTTTTATGCGTCAACATATAATACTGTGCCACATCAGGTCCAAATCGTGTGATCTATTGAAAATAGAAGCAACATCTAAAAAATTAATGTTCTCAAACAACAACACATCTACCAAGTTTGTTTTTTTTTAGCTGAACTAATACTGCACGGAACGTTATCTCTTTTCTCTCCAACACTAAATTACATAAAGTGTATTCTTTCTCGCGAAACTTTCTGAACAAGTATATCTTGTTTCATCTTAATTTACTACATCGATGTATACTATTTCAGAAAGTTTTTCAAAAGAGAACAGACCTACAATTTTTTTGTGCATCAACCTAACTTTACTATAGATTTCAGTTTACAACCAGCACTCAATGTAATTTAAAGTATCACGGACACTCCTGTGAAGAAAATTCAGGACGTTCGTATAAGAAAAACGGAACTTAGAATAAAAAGATGTACTTGGTGTTCGAATACACGTCAAGAATACAGCCCTAACCTATTGTCACTGAATTGTACTGAGTTAAACGAACCTGAAAACCTCTGGATTGTAGACGATTGTAAAAGTCGTCGTCTTCTCCGCCCCAACCGTAGAAAACGTTAGAGAAACCGTTCACTCTCTCAAACTGTTTCCTCGTTAACGATATCGCACCGCCGAACAAGCCGGTGTAGGGTAGATTGTATCGAAAGATATTTACACTGGAACTCATATGCCTGGGCATCTTGGTGCACGCGTAGATATTGTCGGGATTCTGCGGTATCAAGTCTATGTCTTGGAAGATGAAGCAGTGAAAGTCGTTGATCTTGGTAGCCTCGGCGTAGCCGACGTTGAAGAGCTTGGCGCGATTGAATTCCCGCATCGGGCTCTGCTCGATGACGAATATCCGATAGTCGAGATTCTGCGTCTGCAGAAACGGATGTATGTAATTCATAAAAACAGCGAGCTGACTCTGTCGATTGCGATACGGCAATATGATGGCCACATTGAAGAGGGGGTGACAGTTGAGGGGCTTCCACTGACCGCCCGGTAAGATGCCGAGGCGACGCGCCATCGCCACCGGGTCTTCTCTGGGATGCTCCTCCGGGTACAGCAGCTGAGACGGTCGTCTACCGTTCACGGGGATCGCGCAGGAGTTGTCCCGCGGCGGATACGACCTCTCCATCTCCTCGTAAATGTTCTCGGCTTTGATGAAGGTGTAGTGAGACGCGAATCGGGCCGGATGAAGGCAGTAACACAGCACGAGTATCGTCGTCACGGTGTAAGACAGCCCGCGTGCATAATTGTAAAAGAATGCGACGAGCATCTTCAGGACATTCGCGAGGCCCCTCATCCTAACCTATACGCGGTCGCCGATTTACACATCAGTTGAAATACTCAGAGCGACGCGTTAAATGCGTGCTGTGCTTTTCGAGTTTCGTACGAGCATATGCGTATCTGATGATCGCGGAGAAACGAGAAAAATTCGTATTCTCAAAAAATTGACACTTGGAAAGAGTATACTGACAAATGAGGTGCAAACGACAGACAAGGTGCGTCTCTCTCTCTCTCTCTTTGGTTGTAAGCCTGACAAGGCACATCGCCACTCATGCGCAGGTGTTTTAGGCCGGTGTTTATAGTCGGGTCTTATATTTAAGCTAAGTTCATCTTCAGATATTCTGTAGCCAATAAAATGATCCGTACATCATCTGAAGATAAACGATAAATATGCAGTATAACGCCATCTTGGATTTTTTTTAACTTTGTAAATTTGTATATTTTTATGCGTAGAATTGATTTCTGAAAACAAAAATTGTCGCTCACTTTTCGTTTTCTTGTTTTTTTATTTTTATATTTTATGATGTTGATAAGTAGGAAAGGCAAAAAATAGTTCATACATGGTTTTCTCTGCTTTAATCAAAAGCATAAACTGTTATAACTCCTCGTTCTTGCTTTTTCATGTGTTTCCTTGTTCTAAGTGCGAAAAATGCAAGCAATAGACCTTGCTCCGATATTCATTGTCGCAATACTGAAAATACATAGGCTGCGCGTTCCGAAATTCACTGCCAATACTGACATTCTATAATATACGTAACATAAACTATAGATTTTCAGTACTGACAGTACTATATTTCGGAACGCAGCCTTAGAGGATATTAACGCTAATGCGTCACTTTATCGCTCTTGAGATATACGAGATTAGAATATCGTAGTGTTAAATAGTATTGATTGCGTTCGAGGAATACGCCGCGTCATTCTACCTTTATCATATTAACATAACCCTAGACGAACAGTTCGGACCTAATATTTTTTTGAACTTGTACTTCGACACCTTGGGTGCGTTCAGATTCCTCATCCGGGTGCACTCTATTACTAGAAACATTATAGTATATGTCACATATACTATAGCACTTCTAGTAATAGAATATACCCGAGTGGGGAATCTGAACGCAGCCTTGGCAGAAAGGGCTATAGGCCGTGGCACACAGAAAAATTTAAGCAGTAAGACGTAAGCAATAAGCAAATTGACCAATCACAGTCGTTGATTCTTTTTACGGTCCAAGAATCAACGACTATGATTGGCTGATTCGCTTACTGCTTACGTCTTACTGCTTAAATTTTTCTATGTGCCACCAGCTTATTTGAGAGTCTGCAATAGTAAAATATAGAGAAAAAGATATTAACCTAACCAAAGACATAACCATAAAAGCAAGCAAAGGGAAGTAGCCGTGTGAACATGACATGCACTTTTTTTGATCGTTGAAGCAAAAAGAAAATACTCGAAGTATCTTGCAAGTGTACTTTGAAGATTTCAAATGTCTGTTTATTCGACGCACTTTGCAAGAATTTTGAGCATGCATTTCGATCGAGTTTTTTAATTCATCGATGGATCCATCGATGAATTAAAAAATTCGTCCTTCCTCGTTTTGACATCATCAATCAAGATGGCCGCGAACTTCAGTGGCGCGCGATATGATTGGTTGATCTTTACGCGATACGTCGTAAAAATGATTTTTATGGCCATTGCACACAAAATAACATAGGCTGTGTTCCGAAATGCATTGCCAGTACTGAAAATCTATATATATCTATAGTTATATCTATATATATCTATAGTTTATATTACGTATATTATAGAATTTCAATACTGGCAGTGAATTTCGGAACGGAGCCATAACTACATATGCATAGCATAAGACCGCTCGACCAATGAGCAAATTAATATAGCAACTTTTTCATACATATTCATTGGTGAGGTGAGGTTTTATTAAAAGTTACTTTAGCTCGAACGATAAGGAATTGTAATGTGATTGGGATTATCGCGGAGTTTCAATTTTCCTCTAACGATAATTATTCAGTTCACCTATATCAGCACATATTTCAGTATAAATGTTATTTCTTTTGGAGCATATCGTACATCTTACAAGAAAAACTACAGAAAGTACATACAAGCCTTGGGATTATCTGTTAACACTTTATTTAAACCTCTGTTAGTGATTTAACTTGAATATATATATATATATATATATATATATATATATATATATATATATATATATATAGCGAATTTTCTATTGGCAATTTTATAGACCCTCAAAATAATAAAAATAAAATAAGCTATGTAAATAAACATCTTTACACAGGTAAATTGTGTTTGTACGATAACAATCGTTTGTATTTTAACATCACATTTGTCAATGAACCAGAATGGCGCGCGGCTCTTGGTCCTGTTTAATATCCACCTTGGGTATGTTTAACTGATGAAAAACATCCAACGCATCTTGCACAAATTTGTCCATCATAGCCTCAGTGTGTCTCGGAGTAGGTGCTAATCGCAATTTCTCCTCACCCTTGGGAACCGTAGGATAATTTATAGCTTGTACATAGTGCCCTTTACTCCTTAGCAAATGATCTGCTATCTGACTACATAGCAGTGGGTCTCCAATCTAAAAAATTAATGCATATTGAGATGAAAGTATCAATACCTGGGCATACTATCCAATCCTAGACATTCTTATTATTTTGGTCTTTAAATAGAAACATTTAAACTTTTAACATAAAAATATATATACTCTATATAGTTTAAATTTCTATTTAAGAAAATAATACAAGAACATTCTTATCGTTTTGGTATTTAATTATGAATATTGAAACTTTTATAGAAGATATAACATAGAATATATATACATATATTCTATATTAAAGTTAAAAAACCCGTATTTAAAGATCAAATGAATAAGAATGCCCGGAATTAAGTGTGTATCCAGGAATTGGTATTTTTGCCTTGCTCAGCTGGCCATTATCAATACTTATTTGTTATTTTGATTAGACGGACCGCTCACCTTTATCGGAATGATATGCGAAGGTGATGGCTCTAACGGAAGACCAGCGGCAGTAATAATAGACTTCATATAGGCCACGTTTTTCTGGTGAGTTGCCCTCAGCGATCTGCCCTCGTCCGATGCCAAAATGTCGACGGATGTCAAGGCTCCGTACAGCACGGTAGGCGGCAGTGAAGTAGTAAATATAAAACCGGCTGCGTAACTTCTTATCATATCTATAAGATTCGACGAGCTGACAATGTAGCCGCCCACGTTGCCGAACGCTTTCCCCAAGGTGCCCGAAATTATGTCCATCTTGGACAGGACCCAATCCCTTTCCCCGATACCGGCGCCGGAGTAGCCGTACAGACCGACCGCGTGGACCTCATCGACGAACGTGATCGCGCCGTGTTTGTGCGCGATGTCGCACATCTCTTCCAACGGGCAGATATCGCCGGTCATGGAATGCACCGTCTCGAACGCCACGATCTTCGGCACGTTCTTGTCCAGCTTCGACAGAAGCTCCTCCAAGTGTCGCGCATCGTTGTGCCGAAATATATGCTTCGGCACGCCGCTATTTCTAATACCCTGTATCATGGACGCGTGATTCCCGGCGTCGGAGAATATGTGGCAGCCTGGCAGAATTCTCGCCAGAGTGAACAGGGTGGAGTCATTGGCGACGAAGCAGGACGTGAAGAGCAGACCGGCGTCCTTCTGGTGCAGCTTCGCCAGTCGCTTCTCCAGCATCTCGTGGCCCATGGAATTGCCGGAGATGTTTCTCGTGCCTCCGGCACCGGCGCCGAACTTATCCAAAGCTTTGCGCACCGAGCTCGTCACCGCTGGATGACGTGACATTCCCAGATAATCATTAGAGCACCACACGGTGATCGGCTTCTCGCCCCATGAATACTCCATGGCTCCCGGGAAATTCTCTGCCAGGCGATTCACCTTCTTGAACACCCTGTACGAGTGGTCCCTCTTCTTTCGCATGATCTGTTCGTGGAAGAATTCTTCGTAGGAGAACTGCGCATTCTCTTTCTGCTCCTCTGTGACACCCAGACTAATGATATCTTCCTTGACTGCTGAGCTGGCCTCTTTCACAGTGTCCAACTTTTTCGATAAGAATGGACATTGACTCTCTACACATTCTGGCTGACAGGCTGGCTGGGGCACATCGGACTCAGCCATTGTGCTGAACAACTTCGACATCACCGGGCAATGTTGCCGGTAGTTCATTATCACTGATGATCCATAGTTGCGAACATAGTTTGCAGGCAAACGGGTCAAGAATGGGCAGGGCATGATCTTCAGATATGCTGAAAATATCCAAATTATGTAACACAGAATAGTCAATATAATATAAATTATTGAATATATTATGCAGAAATTATATGATATAATAAAGTTTTTAAAATATCTGTTATACATAACAATGTTCTAAATCATATACAGGTATGTTATAAATATAAATAAATCCAGCAGAAAGTATATATGTATGTGTGCAGCATCAAATCAATGTTATTATTAAAAAATATTAGATTATGCAGTATCTTAGAAAATTAATTTTTTTACATGGGAATATAACATTATAGTAAAAGCAGAAAGTTAATATACTACTAAAATGTTAGCTCAGGCTAACATATTTTGATAAATATTAAAATAATATTGTGATGTAAATATTGAAATAAAAGCTTCTTAAATTTTATAATACAGCATAATACTGCTGTGCCATGTATGATGCAATTAAACACACAAGATAAACCTATAAGCAGACAGCAGCGTTACAGTGTTATTAAATTTAAGATTATAGCAACTGAACAAATACGAGCCAAGATAATATTAGACAAAACTCCATACATTATCTCAAAAATATTACACAATATCCGCAGCTGAAAATCCGGGAGAGGAACGTACGATGATGTTAGATAACACGATAATCACTACTTTACTGAAATGTAAGAGCTGTACCTGATGACACGACCCTCGACCTCGTGGACGGGATGGAAGAAGGGGAAAGAGAAAGCGACAAGCTTATAACGTGACGTAGCACCTGTTCGTGTCATGAGAAATGGTGAATATATTACCTTTCACGGCGTTAGCGCTGTAGTAATTGTAAGTCCACCAAAATAATTGTTTCCACAACTGAAAACAGAAACACACGCTGTGACTGGCTCAAAGTATCTTTGATACGCCTTGAATGTAACTGAGTGATCGATGTCAGAAGATTCGAACGAGGAAGTTCAATTGGCTGCGTGTGAAAGCGCGAGAGAAACTCTAACCTCTCACAACAACCTACCTTCTCGGTAGTTCGTTCGCTACTATCCGCGACTGATTGGCAAGTCAGCACATATACGTAATCAGCATTCGCCGAACACACAATATGTGACCAGAGGTCATATTCTCCACGCATATTCAGTATCTCAATAAGGATTGAGAAAGAAATATTTTATTATTGTAGCAAAATTGAGATATTTATTCAAACGAGAATATCTATTTATTAATGTAAAAACATTACACACATTGTGAAGATATATATTAACATTGCACAGGGATATTACAGATGAACCAAGAACTAAGATTTAAAAATTAATTAAGGATTAACAGAAAACAAATCACGTTTTCAGAAATGCTTGACTACAATTGAATTCAAACAGGAAGCAGATTACGTTTTCAAAAATGCTGGTCATAGGCCTGTTCTATGTAGCTGCACTGCTGAACTGGTGCCATGTATTGAAGTGAGACAAATATACGTTTTCTCATTCTAACTTATTGCACTAGTTCAGCAGTGCAGCTACAAAAACAGGCCGTATGACTGAATTCAAAACAGGATGACAAGGGAAAAGTGACGGAATCAATGTCATTTGATCTCTCTCTTACGTACAGGAAGTAAATGCTAATAAAGCTTGAATTACCCACGCATAAGTATCAATAAAAATCTATACGTTAGATATGTCCCCAGATAGCACAGAGAATTCTAAAAGAATTCAGTCGTATGTCACCAATTCTGAGTTCATTCCCAGCAAACACAATGTTACATGTAACGTACATGTTAGTTGTAATTTCCTACTCAATAATATAACTGTTATATAACATGCGTGTTATGTAATAGTTATATTGTTGAGTAGGAAATTACAACTAACATGTACGTTACATGTAATATTGTGTTTGCTGGGTTTTTAGATACAAAAAGAATTCTTTTCACTGAACTGAACTCTGAAGAATTCTTTTTACATCTAAAAATGAACTCAGAATTGGTGACATACGACTGAATTCTTTTTGAATTCTTTTTGAATTCTCTGTGTTATCTGGGTCCTGATAATTCTTTGTTTTTTGTATACAACAGGTAATAACGTCCAAACGTTAAATACGAACGACGCGACATGATTCGTTTTTTTTTCGCGGCTACTTATTATGCAAAGAACATACGCTGGTGCAAAGTGTATCCTTAATAAAGAGACCCGGATGTTCGCAAGGACTTTTAAGCTGCTTTTTGCATGAATATTACGCAGTATAAATCGTCTATCAATATCGCGACACAAGAATACAAAGTGACAATGTAAGAATTAATGTTTCATCGTGACTAAGCACTTTAATTTGCGCAATTCACTTCAGCAATTAAGATAAAGAAAGGATATCTGAAAATTAGTAAATATATTTATTTGTTGACTACAGCATATTCACTTAAATCTAAATTCTATTATTTCTGGCTTGAGACTAGATGATCTGAAGATGATTGGTTTACGTTGCCCCAACAATCGTAAGTCACATGGCACAAAAATAAATTCTATTATTTAGATAGATAAATAGTGAGGAACTAAGGTATTCTTAAGGTATTTTTAAGAAATGTATATTTTTTTATTTAAAAAACATATTTTATATTATTATCATTATTAAGTAAATATGTTGTATTGAATAAAATGTTTATTAATTTTTAGATATTCTTTTTTCTTATGAATACGCATTATTATCGAAAGTTAACCTCTTGATCCAAATAAATTTATATCAAATATATTGCAAGATGGAGTAACTAAATTAAAATTTATCTTCTGGAGCTACTGTCGCGTTGCCAAATTCATGTCGTTTATACATTTCGATTACGGTCACAAACGGGTTAAAAATGCGCAGAACATTGGACTTGTTTTCTTTTCTAGCTCTTTTCACTATTGGAAAGAAATGCTTACAAGTTACGTTCCTGAATCTCGAGCGGTTCGTAGGTTGCGCGTGAGACGATGAGATAAGAAATAGTGCTAGGCGAAGTAAGTCGAAAATCGGCTGAATGTCAAATGCGTGTCAGGCTCTACTGTATAATTTGCATTAATTTTTTTCTCTTTTTTTTTCTCCAAGCCTTAAGGCATCTAGATATTCGCATCGCCAATCTCTTTTTAATGACGTCAAAAGCGAGGAACACACGCTTCTGCGTAATACATTGAAATAAGAAGATATCCCAGATAGCACAGAGAATTAAAAAAAAATTCAGTCGTATGTCACCAATTCTGAGTTTATTTTCAGATGCAAAAAGAATTCTTTTTACCGAACTGAACTCTAAAGAATTCTTTTTGCATCTAAAAATGAACTTAAAATTTATGACATACGACTGAATTCTTTTAGAATTCTTTTTTAACCTTGTGCTATCTAGGCTATCTGTAAAGCGATCGATTGAGCAAATCTGCAAAATAGTCCAAACACCTCCTTGATAAAAAAATTTTTATCGTTCTATCGTTTTCTATCGTTTTGAATATAGATTTTAGTTCGTGAATTCACAAATGTGAATAGTATTCTATCGTATACAATAAAATATAATAGTGATAGAATTTCTATCGTCAGTTTCCTATATAATATAAATATAACCAGATAAAATACGATAAGATTTATATCTGATGCTCGCGAATACTAACGCTTGCGAACGATAGAGCTCATAGAAAACAATACAAATTGATAGAAATTCTATCGTTTTCAATCGTTTTCTATCAACCTTTTTTACCAGGGCTCCCTTTTGCTCTATCGTTTTGAATATGGATTTTGGTTCGTGAATTTACAAAATGTGAATAGTATTCTATCGTATACAATAGAACACAATAGATAGTGATAGAATTTCTATCGTTAGTTTCTTATAGAATACAAAATCATGTATAACCAGATAAAATACGATAGGATTTATATCAGGGTCCCTATTCTTGAAATTTTTGCGTGTACATAATTTTCATTGCGCAGCTATTTTATGGTACAATTAAACCTGCGTAATAAAACTTACGTATACGCAACTATTTTAAGAATAAAGCCCTTGAACTTGCAAGCGAGAACAATACAGCTTAAAAAAAACGATTCAAATTGATAGCGCTATCAATTTGAATCGTTTTCTTTAAGCTGTATTGTTCTCGCTCGCAAGTTCAGATATAAATCCTATCATATTTTATCTGGTTATATACAATTTTGTATTCTATAGGAAACTACCCACATAGCACAAAAGTCAACGTTATTATTGTTAGAATATTGCCAGAATATTTGCAGTAAGTTATATTTTATTGAATGTCAATGTAATGTTATATTAATGTCCGATATTATAGAGTAGCAATGTTAATATTACTAAAATATTGGGGTAACCCGGAAAAAAAAAATTCAGATAAAAGCCA